GTAACATTGTTCATTTTTTATTAATGCAGGAGCTCTACTCATTGAGATGATCAGAGAAAAGTCCATTTCAAGGAGGAAGGTGTTCTTCTCCGAAATAACCCTTAAAAATTGTAGAAGTGTACAAGGATGAAAGTTTTATAATATTCATTTTTTCCTAAACTTTAAAAAGTAAATTACCATTAACTAATTTTTGTCAATTTTGATAACATTTATTTTTTCTTACATTTCAGTATTAAAAAAAAAATCTTTTAGTAATAACTATTATAATATAACTTCCTTAGTTCACTTTTACAAATAAAAAAAAAATTAAACCTTCTTCTTAAGTAAATTTACCTTTTGTCTACATAAATATTCAAATAACCTATTTTCTCTTACAGTCTAATGAAAAAAAAATGAGTTGGTTTTTCTTAAAATTAACCTTACATTACAACAAAAAAAAAAAAAAGAGAAGTAACTTTTTCTGATTTATGAAAAGTAATTTATTCTAAAACTTAGTTTAACCTTTTGTCTATAAGTTAAACAAAAGGGTTATTAGCACAAAACGTTCCTACGTTTGGAATTCATTATGAAAACGTCATTATGTTTCATTTTTATTTTTATTTTTTGCAATTTTATCCTGCTTCCACCTTTCATTGTAGAAATAATCATTTTCTTCAATTTCTATCCAATTTTTGAATAAAAGTTTATGAAATGACAAATATTCGCTCTATTTAAATGAAACAAAAAGAAAAAAATGGAAACCAAAGAAATAATTGCAACCATACTCTCGATTTTTTACAAAACGAACAAACGAGTCGCAAATAAATGATTTGAAATTAAAATAAAAAATAACAATTTGACACTGATTCATTCACTTTGCACCTTACTTAACCCCCAATTTTCCCATTTTCTTCATCAACCAAACTCTCTTTGAATTCTCGCCATGGCTTGCTACATGTCTCTTTCTCCACTTCTAATTTCAACCTTCGCCAATTCAATTATGTGGGATTGTTCTTCTAGTAAAAATTCTCCCACTGAGTCCTTAGCTAGTGGGAAAGTCGTAGGGAGTCTGAACCCGAAAATTCAAAGCAAACCGCGGTTGAAAGAGGTTGGCCATGGTGGAGAAAGCATTAGAATTGACTAATTTGGTTTCTCTTGGTAATTTCTTGGTAATGGATTAAAACTTTTGCGACCAAAACTTTGCATTCTTCTTCATCTTTATTCATCGAATTCAGAAAGGAATTGAGGTTATTCGAGATGTGTGTGTTGTGAAATAAGCCAACTTTCAAAAAAGAAGTGACGATCGCCTGAGCAATAGAACCCATAATGTTCTGGTGCCTTGAAATGGATAAAATAAGGAACTGTTTGTGGCTTTAATAGTTTCTTGGGTACATTTTTAGTGACTATGGTTTTTAATTTGTTTATAGAAATATTCCGACGTATGGGTTTTTCTTTGGAAGCAAGGATTTATGAAAATAATTTTGTTGGCGAAGGGTCGATTCTTCTATCAACTGCCGGATTTGCCAGTTTGTCGAATATGAGTTTTGAAGTTCATATGCAAATGGATTTTAGAGAATAGTGCTGAAGATATAAAATTTGTTTCAAAGAAAATCGACAATACCATTGTGGATCATCTTCAATTGATTTCATCTGGGGGTGATTGAAAAAATCTCTTATAAGTGAGGCTATTGAAGTTCTAAATCAGGCAAATAGTTTTTCTAAGTTCACTTGGCTGAATCTAGAGTTAATTGTTTCAATGGTCACTGAACTTATATACATGTCTTTAATTGCTCATTGAAATTTAAGATGTCGAGTTTTGACTATTGAACTTTGAAAAATGTTGTACATTACTCATGGACATAACTTTTGTAACTAAATTGGTGACATGACTAACGAAACGCATATGTGGCATCCTATTACACAGTTAAAACTTTGACATAATCAAATTTTGACCACTAAATTTTGAAAATTGTCTTCTATTGTTCGCTATACTTTCAGATGGTTGAATTTTGGCAACTGAACTTTGATATAATCGAGATTTGGCTACTAAACTTTAAAAATGTCTTCTATTGCTAACTAGAAATTTGAAATTAATCAAGCCTTTGTTTATCTCCCTTTAAAAAAATCTTTTTTTTTTAATTTTTCGTACTTATTTTTAATCACACATTTATATAATAAAATATTTTTCAAGTAAACTCAAAAATTTTTCAACTTTTTGACCACAAATTCTCCAAAAATCACTATTTGAAACTCTTTTTTTAATAATGGCCATCAAATAGGGGTTAAAATTCGTTGTTGGAATTCGAATTTAATTTAATTTTAACAATAAATATATTATTTGTTTCCTTGCAATTAATAGTCGTTTTCTTTGCATAGCTTTGTAAGCAATGTCTGTACCACTAGGAATGATTACTCAATTATACAGTAATTAAATTTAAATTTAATTTATTTTTGTCAAATTTTAAGCTATCATCATCGTAATATGTGAATTTGACATTGAAACATGCAATGTATTTGTTGTTAGATAAAATTAAATCCAAGTTTTAACAAATTTTAATTAAATCCAAATTTATTG